TTTCAGAGGCCGGGGCATCGCCCTTAATGTTGCCAGAGGAGTGGGGCTGTTAGTGCCTTTCGTCCTTGGGGCTTCAGGGGACTGAGGACCCGCTGTCTGGCGCTTCCCTCTGGCCTTACCAGCAACTAGCCATTCCCTTCCCCCTTCTCCACAACTGCACTAGCAGTGGGTGAAGGCTCTTTGGAGAATGTGGTCTTTTGACCAACCGGAGGATTTTCCCTACCCGGTCCCAGAAGCTGGCATGCCCATTACAGGCGGGCGGAAGTTAAAGACTCGGTCAGAGGGGATTCTGGTCAACGGGAGATTGAATTCCAGAGGCCTTCTTCTCTGGGCAGGAAGAGGAAAGGTGACCAGTCTTTCCACACTTCCAGCATACCGGAGACGAAAAGGGTCACAATGACCGGCAATTTCAATTTCCTACTACCAGACAGTTGGGGATGGAGAAGGAAAATTTTTTGAAAAGATGTCGAAACTCCACCCCCCGCTCAGTCTATCGCAAGATGCGGCCAGTATTTCGCCGAATTGAGACAGGTAGGCCGAAAGATGTTCCCCGAGAACCTGAGGAGGGACCTCGTATATTGAAAAAAATGGTCCTTCTTTGGCCTAAGTATTTCGTCCGCAGGATCAGATCTTTTGTGATCAAGTCCTTGCTCGACGCTGCCAAACAATCTTCCGGCGTGGGTAACAATACGTCCCACATGAAAAAGCCAGCTCCTTTCACAACTCTGAGGGGCTTGAACCCCAAGGACTCCAGTGATTTTATCACTGTGTCTTTCGTCGGCGACAAATTCTTGCGCGATAAACTTGTCCACGACAAAATACTGACACTATTCGTTTTTCAATTTTTCTTAGTTCCTGGGCGTCTTCTAAGAGTCCACCTTCTATGACAAGGTGTGCGTAGCTCTTAGCTCGCTCAAAGAAATTCCGCTACATTGATAATACAAGAAAGGGGGGGACTTCCAACAAGAGGGCAATTCCCCGGCCTCAGTCTTCTCTTGAGAGCCATTCTTGGCTTTTGGCCTCAAATGGGTTTTATGGCTATTATTGGCCTCCATTTTTTTTCATTTTTTTATTGCCATTGCAGGCATCCATAAAAGAAATAATTTTCATTTTTTTTACCAGAATGTCATAAAAAGAAAGGGAAAATTTGATCTAGGGCTGGGTATTCATTTATGTTGTCTTTATCTGGAGAGTCTTTCTTTGGGGGTTAAATAAGTGTTTTCTTAAGACTTTCTGTAGTCTGCTTTAGTTGTTTTTTTTTTTATGAAAAAAAAGGAAGGATTTTTTTTTCTTTTTTTCCATATTGTTGTATTAACAGGGAAGGGGAGGAAAAAGGAGAGAAAAAAATCACAAAAAAAAGAAATACAAATCTCACCTGGAAGAAAGACAAACAAAAAAAAAATAAAAAACACATACAATAAATATTATATTAAAAAGGTTTGCCTAAAAAATAAAACAAGAAAAAAAGAAAAAAACGAAAAGGAAAATTAAAAAAAACGCTTAGACAAAAAGGAAAAACAAAGAAAATAAATTTAAAATATGCAAAATATACAGAGCTAGCTACAATTTAACAAGATGGCTGACAAAAAAACAAATAAACAATAGAAAAAATAAATAGAAAAACGTTAGAACAAAATAAATGGACAAATATATGTACAAATAGGCAGTAAATAAAGGTTTAAAAAATTAGACAAATATACAATACAAAATGGCAAAAAGAAAAAACACGAAAAAAACTTAAAAGGTATTAAAAAGGAAAAAAAAAAGAATTATTAATAAAGTCAATGCAATTTTACACAGACAGGGGTTACAGAACAAAAAAAAAAAAAAAAACGGAGATATAATTAAAGGAGAAATAAGAGAAAATGAAAAAAGACAGAAAGGAAATTTAAAATAAAACGAATAAACAAAAATTAACGAGATAATTTTTTGTTTTTTTTTTTTTTTTTTTTAAAAAAGGAGGGAAAAAAAAAGGAAAAGAATAAAAATAAAAAAATCTTTTTCAAAATATTCAAAGAACACAAATCAAATAAAATAATAAAAGACAAAACTTAACAAAAAGACGTTCAATTCAATCAATATGAGGAACAAACGGAAGTCAAAAAACAGTCCAACAAAGGTCTGGTCAGTGAAATTCTCACTTGACTCTCTCTCTGACGCAAATTTCTCTCTCTCCAGAGCTGACTTATATAAGAGAGACCAGTCCATTACTAGTTAGGAAGGTGGGTGCACCCCAACAGTCAGTGACACTAGATTTGTTTTTGAGGCAAGAGTAAATTGCAGTGTCATCTGCATAGATGCCTACTTGGGAATCTATGATGTCAGGAAGATCGTTGATGAAGATGAGGAACAGAGTAGGGCCTAGGATAGAGCCTAGGGGAACACCTGCATTTGTGGGATAGGAGCTGGAGGAGAATCCATTGAGAATGACCTTAAATTGATGGTTGGACAGGAATGATTGTATTAGGTCAGACAATCGACCTGTAATACAATAACACTGGAGCTTGCGAAGAAGGCTGGCATGCCAAACCCTATCAAAGGCTTTGGAGATGTCTAGAGCCACGGCACAAGCTTCTCTGTTATTTTGAAGAGCTTGTTAGACAGTTTCAGTGATGGCCATAAGCACATCAGCTGTAGATCGGGCAAAGCGGAAACCATATTGCTTGTCTGAGAGAAGATCATGGGATGTAAGGTGGTTAACCACTTCGGCGTTGATTAAAGCTTCAAAGAATTTGCCAAAGGTGGGTAAGAGACTGATAGGACAGTAATTTGAAGGGTCAGAGGGGTCGCCAGAGTTCTTAAAGTCAGGAACAATCGATGAGGACTTCCAGCAGTCTGGAAAACAAGATTCCTTGAGGCAGTAGTTACACAATTTGGAGAGGGCGGGCGCCAGTTCAGGTGCAAATTTCTTTAAGACAATGGCTGGTATCCTGTCTCCACCACTAGTATTATTTATTCTTTTCGTTTTTTGATGTTTTATTAACGTAGTAAAAAAATTGGGTGGGGGATTTGCTTAGGTTGCTTATCTAATAGTTTGTTTTGGTCTGGGGAGATAATTAAAGCTATTTAATTGTCCAATGTTTAAATTGCTTGCCATAGTCTATTCTGTTATTTTGCCGGGTGGACAGTTTTTAATTTATTTATTTGGATTGATTATTTTTACGTGTTTTTGCTTATTTATGCTTATTTTTATTAGTTCTAACAGTTTTTGATTGATTGTTGTATGCTGATGATCTTTTCCTTATTTTCCATGATATTTTTGGTGTGATTTGTGTTTTGTTTTTAATTTTCCAGATGTACTTGGAAAGCATTGTACTGTTCGTGTATTTACTATTTGTGAAAGATGTTTTGTGAGCATAGTTTCTTTGTTTCCAGGGTCCTCTGTATACTTTTTCTTCACTATCTAGTGATTTTACTGTGGCTTGGTATATTACGTAGTTTTGCAAGCAATTACCATTTAAGGGACATTCATTCTTAATTCTACAGTTACACGTGGGTTTAATTTGTTCAGGTGCAAGTAAAATAAATTAACCCAAACAAATAAATAAACAAGTGACTCCCGCAAAATAAGCGCCAGAATAGATTACCCACAATGCACCACTGACCCATATATATAAATAGCCGAGAAAATATACAGCATTCACGGCCTGATGATTGCGTCCAGCATGAAGCAGCCTGTCACCTCTGAGTGTTGAATTCAAATGTTTCCTGATTTTATATATATATATATATATATATATATATATATATAATTAATGTCTAAACGAAAATCTTGGTAACTATTATGGATAATTCCAAAAAGGATGAAATCCTGAGAGCTCAATGTTAATTCAGAGCGAATAATTTAATATATATTCAACTAATATTAAATCTCTAATTTAATTAAGGAGAAGTTGAATATTTAAATTGCTAACAAGCATCAAATTTATTTTATTTGTCGAGTTTTTAAACATCTAAATTACTATCAAATGTTAAAATCTGTTTTCATCTAAATTGCTAAAGCTATACTATTAAGTATTATAAAAAGAAATATAAAAATAAATTTTAAAACTCTCCTTTCCCTCTCTAAACTCAACCATGTCTTTCATACCATCCCTCACCACCCTCTATGTCAACTTATATAAGCTTAATACTGCCTGTCAAAAGTGTAAATTTTAATTTCATTTTTTGTTTCACCTTTTGAAAGTGAAGTCTGAGGATCCAGAGAAGGATAAAATTCTCTGGTGAAATAAATTATTACAATGGAACCTTAAAGTGGTCTGCTTTTCTTTAAATTAAAATATATATATATATATATATATATATATATATATATATATATTAGGGAGAGAGAGAGAGAGTATTACTCAATTGAAAAATGTCGGATGACTCAACCTGTAAACACCTGAGGGCAAATTGGTATACTTGAGGAAAAAATTGGGAGTAAAAAAAGAAAGAACTAAAAACATCAGAACAAGGTGATACCCTTGATCTGCATGATGGCACAATTTCCCCATATTGTCACCTATAATAAACCAAAGAGCCTGGTTATTAGAATAGTGCTTTGGGTTTTTTTCTCACGTTTTTTTTTTTTTTTTTCACGTGGTTTTATTTTTTAATGGTTTTATCAATATATTTATATATATATATATATATATATATATATATATATATATATATATATAAATATATATATATATTTAGGGCACCTTGAGGTGGTGTAATGGTTAGCAAGCTTTGCTCGCTAGAACAATTACGACTGAGTAGTGAGTTTGATCCTCACTGGGTGCCCCTAATTTCAGCCTTGTGCCATATCTAAGCTACACTTGGAAAATCTCTCTCTCTCTCTCTCTATATATATATATATATATATATATATATATATATATATATTTACATATATATATATACATATATATATATATATATATATATATATATATATATATATATATATATATATCATAATGATTAAAAACTACTTTTATAAATTATTAATTTAATATTTTTCTTCTTTCAAGGGTTTTTTTCACAGATACCTGCCATGGGTGCAATACGTTCAAAAGTCCAGGTAAGTTTCTTCTTTCTATTTATTATTACTTTTTTTAGCTACATTTGTAACCATTGATGAAATACAAAAGTTTTTTTTTTTATTTTTTGTAGCTTTAATGTGTATCATGACTAATTAAAATTAATAGCTTTTAAAACATTATGCCTGAGCAACAAAAAAAAATGATTAGGACAATTTCTCACTGTTGAATCTGAAAATGGCATCCATTTCTCTCGATCAGGTCATGTTTTTGTGCTAAGTTGAGTTTTTTAAAATCTGATCTTCTGACTAAATTGATGACATTTTTGTGACATTATCAATTAAAATTTTGTTAATATTTCTCATATGAAATAAGTTTTTAAAAGAAAAAAAATGTTTCCTAACACAATTTATTAATTAAATGTTACAAATATTGATTACAATGAATTGATTGTTGTGTCATTATTGTTCAAAATTTGGGCCTTGAAATTCTGTTTATTCAAACCCTTAGAATGATTAGCAGCAGAAGTATGTCTCTTCAGTCCAGCAGTAATCAGCCATCATGACTGTCCCTGATATCTGGTCCCCATCTTTCATGTCTTGATGGAATCTCTCCCTCTGTTCATTGCTCATTGATCCCAGATTCTCAGGATCTACTGATCCATATGTGAGAATAAATGATGCATTTTGTTGCTCATGTTGCATCATAGGTTTCTGAAAGCAGTCTGCATATTGATGACAAGTTATGCATAATTCCTTGCTGTTGTCAAGAAAGTTCTTTACAAGCAGAACAAAAGCCTTCCATGCTTCCGTCCATTTTTTGTGTAATGCTGAACAGTGTCCCTACTATCCCACATGTACAAAAAGCATGAGTACTTGGTGAACCCAGACTGTTGTCCCAACAAAAAGTTAACTATCTTCAGGTCAACACAAATAAACCACTCATGCTGATTATAATGAATTTTCTCCAGCACATACTTCACTGCTTCATATTTATCCTTCAAATGAGCATGGCAAACTGGTTGCCATTATGCAATAGAACACTTTTCAGTAATCACTTGCTGCTGTCAATGAACAGTCTCCAATTTTTGGGATCATATTGTGGCATTTCAATTTTTTGCAGAAGCTACACAATATCTGTACAGTACTAGTCCTTCTCTTCAGAGAAAAAACTGACGTACTCTTGATGCTTGTTGTACTAGAAGGTGATGCAAGCACTGTCAGAGAGGAGTTTTTTCCTTCAATATGGATGCCAATAGTTCAACAGAGGACTTTGACAAGCTGAGATCATGAACTGGCCTTTTAAAACAATCCCAAGAAGAATAAAATCGTATATATAAAAACACAATATAATATTAAGAAATAACATTAATTTTATATAACAAGAATTCAAGCTGGAATATACAGTTGGTTGAAATGTCTTGAATGAGTAATGTCTTTTTTCTTGTATATAGTACAAACTGTATTGCATGTGTATCTGAGAAAGGTAAAATGTTGGTACTAGTGTGTTTGTGCAATACATGTGTATGCATACATGGTAGTATGCATACATGGTAGTAATGGGGGCTAAAGGAGATAGATAGAATTAAGCTCTTTAAGTGGTCCTTTTAAGGTTTGGTCAGTGCTGCTGAGTTGTTTCTTGATAGTGTGTGTGGAAACGAATTAGGTTTTGAATATCAGTAGTTAGAGTGGCATGGACCTTAGTGGAATCGGTTAGACTCTGTCATTGAGCTCAAACATAGTGATTTTTATACCATTATTCCTGAGAAATTGTCTCCTGAATTATATTTTTACTTGTTCATAATTGACCCTAAAAAGTCACATGGTACTTACTACTACGTCTGCACAATATTTTCGCAGTATACCTAAATTATAATGACTGATAAAACAACCTTTCTGATATGTATTCTATAGTTTTGTATTGTACAGTTTCATTGGTGTGTTTTGAGATTGTAAGCACTTTGTGTGTTATTGATTTATAAATATTTTGGAGGCATGTTTTAATAATTATTTTAGCTATTTTGGGCTGGAAATACTTCTGATGGGTTCAAATTAATAAATTTATAATTAACATAATAATTAGTTTTATTTTATGAAATATGTTGCATATTTAGATATTTTATTGAGCATAACAATGTAAACAAAAATGTAAAAAAACAGCATGTGGCCATAGCTCAAAAAGTAGACCTGATTGAATGTGGTTTTTTGATTCAGCACATCAAAATTTTCCTAAATCAACTAAAAAAAATTTAGTGTTGACAAGAGATAGATTTTTTTCTTCATTTTGTTGTTTTTTGTTGATTACTAGAAGAAATTATCTTTATATATTTTATATTCTTGTTCTTTTTGTTTGTGAAACAATGTCTATCAGTGATTAAAGGAAGGAAATTATTTTAGTGCTTGCATGTTATTTATATACAATTTAATTTCTATGGCTGTTTCATAATATACTTGAATTAAATTTCTGTAAATTGACATTAATTTATATAATATAAATTTTATTTTAGATTATTCTTATCACTTTAATGAATTAAATTTCTGAAACAGCTGTTATACATTTATTAGTTACTGATTTGATTATTTTTTTTCTAATATAAAATAAGGTTATATTATACACTATTTTTAATTTGTCCCAAAAAACTTTAATAATAAAACTGCAATTACAGATAGTTTTAACTGTTTCAAATAATAAAATCACCTTAAATTGGTTAGATTATTCTTGTAAATATTAATGGTGATCTTTGTATAAATACAAATTAGTGTTTGTAATGTGAATTTTGGTCTTATATATTAAGAAACAAAACCAGAAGATTACTTATAAATATATTTTGCTTATATAAAATTTCATTTGAAATTTTTTTTCAATTTTATGTTTAGGCTTAATAATTATATTGTTATCTTTCTGTTTCTCTTTGAAACTTGTGTTAAAAAATTAATTAATTAATATAGAACACATATACTAATCAACTTGATGATAATGATCAAATGATAATCTTTCTCTTAAATGCAACTATAATATGAAGCATTAAGTATTTTTATGATGAAACAGGCTTTGTATATAAAATTCAGATTAAATCAAAAAATAAACTTTGATAGAAACAAAATCTGAAATTGATGATTGAAATATTAGAATGTTTTATCTATTGTTTGTTTTCTATTGATACTATTTAGAAATTGTATATGAGATCAAACATACCTTTGTATTATTTATATGCTTTAACATTCATAATGTTCTGTATTGGTTGTACATGCAAGTTACTATATATTAATATTTGGCACTTTTTCCTGATTTAATGTTCTTCCACAATATAATGTATGATGGGTTTGATCAGATTTTACTGTTGAGAAACTTAGCAGGATGTAATAAAAAAAAGTTATTTTAAAAAAGAATTGAACAGGTATGACTGTTATTTTAAAATTATTAAATATCATTTTATTACACAGTGCAAAAGTATCTATTTTATTGCTACTGGAAAAAAAGTTGATATGGTAAAGCTAATGTAACAGGCATAAGTAAAAACGACGACTTTAATAATAATTAATATAATTGAAAATATAAATATCAAAATATTTCTTTTCTCTATTTTTGCATCTTATATACTTTTATTTTAATAACATTCAAGCTGTTACTCTTCAATTTAATAAAAAAATGTAACAATATGAACAACTTCAAGATTATCATTTTTTGTCTTGTTTACCATTAAAATTACAAACCAAACCAATTTGATTTAGCAAAAGAAAATTTTACATGCTTTTTGCTTTGTTCATTGTTTTAAACTTGTTTTCCCCTGTGCTTATGAATGTTGTTTATAACAATGGTCTGATGTCTCTAAGAATGAGTGAGTATCATATTTAAAATGTGTTTAATTATATTGCATAGCTATAATTGTTTGTCTCTTCTTAAACTTTACATATTGGGCATGCATATATATAATTGATTATTTCTTATTAGAAAAAAAAATTACAAAAATTATTGCAATGGTAAAATTGATTTTAATTATTAACAACATTAAAATTTTAAATAGGCTTCCTGAAATGTCTTGGAACATTGTAATAATTTCACTTTTGTCTGATATATTTAACTGAAAATGAAATGTTACAAGGATTGTTAGATTTTTTAGATAGCATTTTTATAATACTTTGATAGAATAAGATTTCAGAATATTTTACTATCTTATTCCTAAATTATGCATTTATTTGTATTATTATTGATTATATATATATTTGGTGATATATTATACTTAAAGTATATAACACACACACACACACACACACACACACATATATATATATATATATATATTATTATTATTATTATTATTGGTTATGTAGTATACTTAAAGCATATAACATATTATTGATCTTATAGTATAGATAACATACATTTATTATTGATTATATAGTAGACTTAAAGCATATTTATTAGCAAAAATACCCTTAAAGCATGATATATTTTCTAGATATTGCTAAAATCCATGAATTTATCTGCCTATGTCTTACTGTTCTTTAGATGTTTACAATTATGCTTGGGATTGGCAATATTGGATTCAGAAGCAATCTTTGTAACTATTTAGTATTTATTCTTAAATACTAACACATCCATGCAGAATTAATCTTTACAAATTCCTTAATGCTTGATGCTGTCTTATTTCAAAATATGAGTCAAATCTAAAAGTTGTAGGATTTGCTAAGTAATTTATCATTGCACTAGTTCAGGCTCTGTAAGATTTTATTGCTAGCTTTAATTCAAATCTTCCTTCCTTCTCTTTTTATGGTATCTGTCTATTTCTGAGATGAGGTATCATGTACACTATTTACATTGTTCAAACCATCATCCTCATTTTTGTTGCCATATTTGTCACAACATTTTGGCCTTTGTATGCTCCGGCCTTCTTCAGGTGGTTGTAATGTCGAACTGAACCCTTTATTTTGCTCACTTCTAGTTTCACGTGCCATGTCTAATGAATATCAGTTATTAGTTATCTCCTGTTAATTCCCCTCTCCAAGTTCTCTACCGCTTTAACCAGGTATTGAACTCACACTCTTTGAGTCCTGTCACTGGATCTAACACCTTTATCCACTGTGCTATGTGCCCTGAACTAGAACAGTCTACCCCAGTGAGCGAAATAAAGGGTTCAGTTCAACTTTCCAAACACCTGAAGAAGGCCAGAGTGTACAACAGCCAAAATGTTGTGATAAATATGGCAACAAAGATGAGAATGATAGTCTGAACAATGTAAATAGTGCATCTCTTTCTCTCTCCAATATGAATAAGCATTTCAGACCAATTTACATGTTTTTATAATCATAAGTACCTTTTTAATCATCTCTTAAATCTACTAACTTCTTTGCTTTGAGTTTATTTCTCTCATTTGTAAATTACTCTAAACCTTAGTGGTATTTTGCTTTTTACCTTCTTTATTTTTAACTTACTTTTTCTACCCACTAATTTTTTTATTATTAAATCTAATTGTTTTTAGACCTGTCAGTTACTAATTTCTTTCTTATTAGCTATGTGTATTATAATTATTATGATTTATTTTTGCTTTTTTTGCTCATCAACAGTTGTCATCATTCATTGTATTGAATAAACTTTACATAACTTTGGTATGCCATAGCTTCAGATTTAATTCATATTTTTTTAATTCATACATATATATTTTAAAACATTTTTTATGTTTATACATTCTTTTTTATAGATACAAATATTTAAGTAAATATTTAAGCATTTACTTAAATATTTGTATCTTTAAAAAAGAATATATAAACATAAAAAATGTCTTAAAATAATTGTCGGACTTTGTCCATTTCATAATGTGATATCATTTGTTTACATTTGGATATGCATTGAGCAGATATGAATGTATGAGAGAAAATCATGGAGAATTGTAGCTTAAAAACAGTAAAATCAACCTTGCTAACTGAAACGCTCCTCTGTGGCTAAATTGGTAAAGCACATCAGGCTATATGACAGTTCTACAGGTTCGATTCCTGTCAGAGGACACATATTTTCTACAAAAATTTCTCAGACATTCAGGCTGTTTACCAGCCTGAATGTCTGAGAAAATTGTCATTAATACTGTTTATTATAAACAGAGCATTTACTTAAATATTTGTATCTATAAAAAAGAACGTATAAGCATAAAAAATGTCTTAAAATAATTGTTGGACTTTGCCATTTCATATATATATATATATAAATATATATATATATATAGAGAGAGAGAGAGAAGTTCTGACTTTTAATTTTAAAAGTTATAACTCAAATGATACATTTTTTTTTAAGATTATTGCTAAATCTTCTCATAACTTTTTGCATACAGTATTTTTATAGCTGCCATTGTATTTTGATTCTCTCTGGAATTAGTTTTCATTTAAAAAAAGATATGATCTGAAATTTGTGGAGATTTCTAAATTATTTCCATGAGAAATCTATTCCAGGAAATAAAATCAGAATATTGTTTTTAAAACTATGCCTTATTTATAAGTACTAAAGTTTCTTGTTTTGATTATATTATATATTTACATCATGTACCATTATAGACTATGAAAATAACAAAAAAATTAATAAAAAACTTATTTTTACAATTTTTTCATTATATTACATAATTTATACTTATTACATAATTCTTAGGAATTTGATTTTGAATTGCCTCAAATTTTCAATTTTAATTATTATAAAAATTCAAAATTTTAAAATAATTATATTTGCTAAAAATTCTTTAATCTCTGTTTTCCCTCCTTGTTATTTTTGTATGTAAATGTGTCAGTATTGCAATGAAAGAAGTGTTTGTAATGCTGACATAGGCACTGCCTTGCTATGTTGTTTATTCCAGCACTATATAGGAGTTCTGGCCCGACCTTTGGCCCTTAATCATTCCGAGTACATCAAGTGGGCCGGGGTCTACCAGGATAGCCATGTAAGCTGGCTAATACCTCTTCCTTTTACTACCTGTCATACTTGCCTATCTTTATAGCTACAAATTCTCTCTTTTACTAACTGCTACTTATGTTTTAGATATTCACTCTAGTGCCTGCTTAATGACCTATTGTATACTATAATGTATTCTTGTTATAAACATGACAGTGATGTGTATATGTGTGAACTATATATATATGTATTATGAGGATATTATTTATGCCTGGTCTCTGCAACTGCTGCTGTTTTTATTGTTATGGTTTGTTGTCAGTTTTGTCTGTTGCATTTATCTGTTTTCTGTCACTGCTTCTTCATCTTTTGAATTCTGATTTTAGCCTGAACAAAATAAATGCTAGTATGCCATAACTTTATCATTTAGAAATAATTGTCTTAATTACTTCTACTTATACATTTGGCATTCATTTGTAATACTTCACTAAAAAAACTGAGTACATTTCCTTTATAAAGGAAATTATATTATATATTATGGCTAATTTCATGTTTATAAAAATTTGTTCTATTGTTTCAGTTTTATTGTACTCATTCTATTAGGCACTAATAGATGGGGTGCTGAAAAGCTTTCAACCTGACTAAGAAGACTTCTCCCTAAAATTCGAATTTTGATCACTTCCTCAGGTAGTCGGTTGGACTGGGAACTTTTCAGTACTCCCACATGTTATATTTGTGTTTATTCCTTTATCTATTTTATCTCTGTTGATATTAATATTAAGTTGAAATTTATTGTTTTCTTTGTTAATTTAGATGTTATTTTCATCTAAGTTTAAATCACTACAACAAAATTTATTCTTTTTCAATAATAAGGAAAGAATATAACTTCAAGATAAAAATATCTTCTTGAACTAAATGTAAATTTATAATGATGTTTAATATTTTTTATTTCTATTACACTGTGTAACACAAATTTTAGCTTTGGGTCACAATTGTTATTTCTTATTTGTTTATGCCTAGAAAATATGAAAAAGGCTAATATTTCCTTTAAACTTTGCTTTTGTAACCTAGGATAATGATATTTCTGAAATTTACCTATTCCTATTAAGAAAACTGGCGAATAGGAACATTATCATTCATGCAAAGTAGGAACAAAACTACATATGATTCAAAAGTAATATTCATTTTTCTTCTAAGATTACACATCAGGAAGTCTCTGATAACCTCCTAACCATACTCTTCATATTTCAAGGCATCTAGCAAGATCTTGTCAGTACTGTATTTCTCTTTGAGTTGCACCAAGTGAGCCAGGGGTAAAGATGGATACATGTTCCCATTATGAAGCAGCATGGCGTTGAGGCTCTTGGATGAACTGTCAATGAAGAGATTCCACTCACTGGAGTTGCAGGTGATTCCAATTGCCTTGAACAGACCAGTGAAAAAGCTTGAAAAATACTGGTGATGCTTTCTCTGACCTGCAAATTCCACTGCTTGAATCTTAACATCAAAAGCTCAGCATTGGACTTTGTGAATCAGGTTGTTGAGGTCATTTTGGTTGGGGTAGTATGGGTTTCTCTCCTCGGCTGCGCCTCTGTAATCTGGATGAATGACTTCATCCTCTTCTGAATTACTGTTCCCTTCTGAAGATGGCTACTCTCTCTCTCTCTCTCTTTCTCTCTCTCTCTGGAAGTGTGAGTACAGGGAGCTCAGGGCAGTGTGGCACTGGGACGATACAAGACAGAATGTTTGGATATATAACAGCATGGACATTCTTGCCAGGTCGGCGTCTGTAAGTGTCCACCATGCAGAAGAAGCAATTGTTTGAGTTATCAGTTGGTTCTTTCAAATTTGCAGAATTGTGAATTTAATTTTCTCCCTTTGCAAAAGAGCAAAATAAAAATATGGTATAAAAATACAAATGTATTCCACCCAGTGTTATTGAAAAATTTTTAAAAATTGCATTTTTGATTTTTGAAATTTCTAAAAATCATGCCCTGTATTTGTAAAATTCTGATTTCAGACCCCAATTAATGTAGCAAATGCCACAAAAATACAGAATCTTGAATACTGAACATCCCTAATATTCTGTATTTTTATGGCTCCAGTATAGAAAACATCCATGATACTATGGACACTAATGTGCAATTGTTGAAACATATTTAATACATATTTTTCAATAACACTAGTTAAAAAAAGAAAAGTAAAAATATTTAAATTAAAGAAAATTCCTGTTATGACCTATTAGGTAAACCAATCTCATTACATCTCCCTGAACTTTTTGTGTTTTACGCCCTGCATGGATCTTCAGCTTCTCTTATATTAACTCCCTCTCTCACTGGTTTCATGAATATTTCTCATTATGGGGGACTTTGATCTGTTTTTTTTTATTCTCACTGTCCCATGTTTCATACTCTGAGTCTTCTGAAGAACTTTGATCTCTCCATTGATTCCACAACCCTTCTTTCTTGTTCATCTATATAGTCATTTGAACTAGCTTTGCTTTGTACTTCCTCATAATTTTGACTAGCTCTTAACTGGTCTGCATGGGCAACAATATTTTTACCATTCTTGCATATTAATGAGGTGTTATATTCTTTTTGCATTATGGAATTCGCCTTTTCTGGCTCATTTTCTTTATTTCTTTTGTACCATATGTTTTCATTAATATAGTAAGATATGGTTAATGGAGCTCTAATCTGTCTACCCATTAATGCAGACAAGCTCCCTAATCTGTCAGCATGTGGCATTGTTCTGTAACTCAACAATAATCTTGGTAGGAACATTTCAATCTTTTCTTGCTGAGAAGAATATGCTTTTAATCCCATATTTATTGTTTGGACCATTCATTCAGCAATCCCATTTGATTGAGGGTGGTAAGGAGGTGTTTTGTATGGGACACAGCCAATCTTCCTTAACCACGAGCATAGATTTTCATCACAGAATTCAGGAGCATTATCAGTTACTAATGTTTTTGATACTCCATTTCTAGTAAATAATAGGCATATTTGTTTTACAGTAATAGATTTTTTATCCTGAACTCGGAAATATTCAGGCCAGGTAGAAAAAGCATCAACCATTATTAGACATAAACCTACCCTGTTAACTTGAGCATGATCCATATGGACTCTAAACTATGGTTCCTTTTCCTTAGGCCAAGAGTGTAACTAATTGTGGTGAAAATTTCAGAACATTTAGGACATTTGCGTATATCCACATCTTGGGTGTATCCCAGCCACAATGCTTCCAGTTTTAACCATTTTTGTGTAACAGTTATCCCACAATGTACATCATATACACTTTTAATTACTTCTTTTGCACATTTTTCCAGTGGTACAACTAAATCCCCACTACAAATTAAACTATTTTCTATTCATAGTTTGTGTTTAGTTTTTTGTATGGTCTTTCTGCATTGGAACAATTATTCCATTTAGTCTTCCTTATTCTTAATAAATTCAACTTAAGACTAGATCTTGTAACATCTCTATCACTAGTCTATTCATGGGCAACACACCCGTTTCCACCCAATGCAAAAATTCATCCTTAACATTTTTTGTTTTGTTCCTTTTCAAATTGTAGTTGGGATAATGCATCTATGTGTGGTATCATGTTTCCCTTCACATATTCTATATCATAATCAAAAGCCATTAACTTCATAGCCCATCTTAATATTCTGGATGATGTAACTTTTGTCAATTTCTTCCTAGGATGGAATATAAATTCTAAGGGCTTATGATTAAATCTCAAAAATTTTTTCATAATAAAAATTGTCTTGCTCTGGTCATACTCCATACAATCACAAGTGCTTCCTTTTCGATATTAGAGTAGTTCAATTCAGATGTTGTCAATGTACTAGAATGATACATCATTGGGTGTCCCTCCTGGGACAAAATTGCCAATACAGACTGGCCACTCGCATCTGTGGTTAATGTAAGGTCCTTTTTAGGGTCAAAAATCTTGACCAAGGATTTTTTATTCAGAGCTTCTTTTAATTTTATGATGGCTGTTTGGTGTGTCCATTCAAACTCCTTATTCTTCTTTCACAACTCAGAAAATACTTCAATTCTTTCAGAATATTTTGACAAGAATTTGCTATAAAAATTGGCTAATCCAAGAAATGATTCCAATTATTTTTTATTAGCTGGAGAAGATAACATTTAATATTTTTTGTATTAATCTCAGGTCTGGCAAAGTACCATTTTCTGAAATTTGTAACCCAAGAATGTTAATTCTTTGCAATTAAATATACACTTATGTATTATTTCAACATTGGTATGTTGCCATCTACATATGACTTAAAAGTGATTTTTCTTTTTGCACATATTACATGTCTGTCCCCATGCTGGACATTTCTCTCTCTTTGAGTCATGTTTATAGTTGCAATATCTGCATTTTATCATTGTTCTTTTTATCGCACCTGTGTCCATAAGCTCAGGTTGGTTTACATTTGTATTAAATTTTTCAATTAACTCTCCTTGTTGTATGAAGTCAATACCTGCTGGTATTTCTTAACCTTCTTAGATATTTTCTTATAGGCTCCCCAAATTCTTGTTTCAATGCTAAGAATTTGGTTCCTTCAGCTATGACCAATCTTTTTTTGGTTGAATATTTCTCAATATTTTTTCAATTCCTTAAATGTCAAGTTTTCAATTTCAGCCAAGTATGTATTTAATGAAATCTGCCTAATGGCTTTGCATCGCGCAGTGGCCAAAAATAGATCTGTGATTTCTTTCTGCCCTTCAGGTGTTTGGTCATTTCATAACTTCTTTATTTTGGCATGTGCCTCTAAGCATTTTATCCAAATCTTTACATTTTCAAGTTCTTCTGTATTCAACAGAGCTCCATTTTGTTCTGATGATCAAACTTAGTAGCCATAGATATTCTACATACACTGACTCAAAGTTGCCCATGAGCTACAGTTATAGCTCTCTTTATGCTAATTACTCATTAGCTAAACGAATTACAATTACAAAACTTTTACACTTAAAAATTCCACTATCCAAACAAGTAAAACTTTCCATCTTATCTTCTAGAGTTCACAGGTGAAATGTGGTG